ATAATGAAACAGCTGTGTGCGTCACTCTTTAGTGTCCCCTGGTCTCCCAGCTATGTGCGTCACTCTTTAGTGTCCCCTGGTCTCCCAGCTGTGTGCGTCACTCTTTAGTGTCCCCTGGTCTCCCAGCTGTGTGCGTCACTCTTTAGTGTCCCCTGGTCTCCCAGCTATGTGCGTCACTCTTTAGTGTCCCCTGGTCTCCAGCTGTGTGCGTCACTCTTTAGTGTCCCCTGGTCTCCCAGCTGTGTGCGTCACTCTTTAGTGTCCCCTGGTCTCCCAGCTGTGTGCGTCACTCTTTAGTGTCCCCTGGTCTCCGTTGTGTTTTGAGCTTCTTGCAGCGTTTGGTTTCTGCAGCTTTTAGTAAACGCTGCGCATGTCTCCTCAAGTTGCTGAATGTTCTCTAAACGCTGCATGTGTTGTCAAATTGCTGGAGATGTTTCTTCATGTGGAACATTTGTGTTTTTATATCTGCATCCTTTCTGAAGCTGCAGAACGTGTCCACCTGTCGGCCTCCGTATGCATGGGCCATCAAAACAATGGCTTTACACCAACAACTCCCCTTGTCTTGATAAGTACAACATATACGCCTCCTTGAAGTAGTTTTAATATTGTCATACCAAGTGGAACAGTCTGAGTGACATGTAATGTAATTTAAAACGAGAAACTCCGATTATTTCTTAAGAAAAGTCTTACTTTCAGTTTGAATGTAAATGATCCAAGGTCAGAGCTTGAGATGAATATGATATAAATAAGAGTTTATGATGATGTGAACATGTGACCCTTTACACTGATAGCTCTAAGGTGTTTGATTTCTCTTTTTATGGTTTCAGGCACACTGCCATTAGTCCTCTCTATGCCACATATTGCAGCTTATCAGAGCGAATGAAGTGGCTTTGGGAGTGTCTACTATCTCTACTGAACTTCATTAAGTGACGCTCCTCTTGTATTATTTAAACTTACTGTGACTCAGGTGAACTCTACGGTTAAGGGGAAAACAGATCAAACCTAAAAGTTGACCCCATTGGACGAAACAACCCTCTAAATATTACGTTCAATTTCACTGATTTGCATCTTTACCAAAACCTCTGTACTCCAGCTTTGACGGTCAAGTCTAGTGTAATCTGTGGAGAAAGGTCAACTAAAACCAGAGATGGGGTCGTTACTAAAAAAAAGTAATATATTACATATTACATATTACTTAAGGTAATACTACTTCGTTACTCTCTACATAAAGTAACTTGTTACTTTACTCGTTACTTTACTCGTTACTTTACTCGCAGGGCCGGCCCGCCCCTCCCTACAGGCAGATCACGCAGACTGCTAAAGTTTCAAATGTTCTCTTTAGTTCAGTTTCCATTGTCGCATAAGACTGATCCAGATAGCTCTGACCATGGCTGTCCTCTGTCTCCTGCTATCTGTATTTTGCACAGTATATCTCTGAACGATGCGATGGTGATTCCACTGTGCAAATGGGCAACATTACCTCTACTATGAAGGATGCTACAAGCCTGTCCATCTCTGCTTTGGTTACCGGTCCTCCAAATTCTAATTTTTGCTGCTTCGGAGTCGGCGGCGGCGCACTCACAACATCCTCACTCTGGGTTCGGGGGTCCTTAGCTATTAGCTTCACCTTAGCATGTGTTCTTTGCAGGTGTTTGTTGAGGTTTGACGTGGTGTTTACAGCAGTGGATAACAGCTTCTGGCCTGGACACAGTTTGCACCTCACCGTCACATTCCTGTCTATTCTTCGGACGAACTCAAAATAATGGGCATACCTCCACCCCTCGAAAGTTATCGCTGACTCTGCCATGTTTATGCAGCATTGCACGTGGAGATGTGGACGCGGAAGTCGCGCAGATTACGTACATATAAACCTGCGGCGGAAACCCCTCTTGTCTGTCAGTGTGATTATGACTGATTTTATAAAAGTAACGAAGTAACGCGTGTCGGGGCAATGTTAGTAACTGTAGTGTGATTACTGAATTATAAAAGTAACGCGTTACACTACTCCGTTACCGACAAAAGTAATATTATTACAGTGTACTTTGTAACGCGTTACACCCAACTCTGACTAAAACATACTTTCTCTGTGGTTCAAAACAGGCCCTGGCTAGAAGAGACAGTCTGATAAACTGTCTTCAATCCAAGAGGACAAACCTTCTCTTCCCGCCTGTTTGGGTTTCCTCTCGTCCTGTTAACCTTCATTCAACTAAAGCTGGCTCAAACATGAATGTTCAATCAACTAAAAACTGAAAATAAAACCATTTAAATATCCGGATCTAGTCTCGTTGTATTTGTATGTAACGTATTCTTTCCAACTATGGTTTGTTTTTTTGTAAATGCTTCCAAATGTTGTGCATAATCTCATTTTGAAAAGATAAAAGTAGATAAAACTAAAACTGCTTTTTCACTTTTTATGGAGTTTCGTTATTGGATGATGTTGTGTTACCAGTTTAGGTCTTTAGTTAAGGCCTCAAGTTCAAAATGGCTGTGTATTCACAATCAACCAACACACACACACACACACACACACACACACACACACACACACACACACACACACACACACACACACACACACACACACACATACACACACACACACACACACACACACACACACACACACACACACACACACACACACACCACACACACACACACACACACACACACACACTGATGATAGTCTCTATCAGTGTTGAGATAGGACTGTTGTTGGAGGCGTAGTGGGCCCAGAAGGACAAAGGTCTGAGTGAGGGCGCACATACACCTACACACACACACACACACACACACACACACACACCCACACCCACACACACACACACACACACACACACACACACACACACACACACACACACACACACATAAAGCAGATAGCAGTATCCTGCGCTCTGTTTGCCCACTGTTCCTCTTCGCCCTTTGGTCACCACACCTCAACTGCTTCATAATTTAGTGTGTGTGTGTGTGTGTGTGTGTGTGTGTGTGTGTGTGTGTGTGTGTGTCTAGTCTCCTCTTTATGACCTTCTGTATTCTTTAGGTTACTTGTTGTACACCAGCATGTGGAAAAGTAACATATTATAAATGTTATCAAAAGAAATTGTGTTTTATTTATTACAAGTTAGTCGAACTTAAAACATGTAAAAACGTTATTCATCAAAAAACAACAACTTTTCCTGACATTTCTAAATGTTCAAGAAATTCTGAATTGTATTTAAAGTTCTGACTTTTTTCTCAAAATTCTCTCTGTTTTGCTTAGATTTCAGATTTTTCTTCAAATTAGAATATTTTCAAAAAATCCTCACTTTTCAAAAAAAAAATATTTTTCCCTCAAAATTCAATTTCTTTCTCAAAATTCTCACTTTTTTCTCAAAATTCCGCATTTTTCTAAAAATACTCGACTAAAAATAAAAAGCACTTTTGGTCAGATCTCAATAAAATGTTTTACATGTGGCCATTATTCTTTTCCGTATATTTAAAACATAAAACCACCCCCACACATTTTTTTAGAAGAAATCAGATACGATGGAAATATGCTGTTTGTCTTTTAATACGTTAAATTAAGTCACAGTTGTTGCTCTGTTATAGTGTTACATTCAGTTATCCTGTACACTTATTATTATTAAAACAGCTTTTGGTTTGTAAATAAAATGTGGGTCCGTGACTTCATATATAAGTTGTATCCAACATGTTTTCACTTTACCTCACATTCATCAAGTTAAACCCGCTTAAAATGTAGAAATATTACATTAAGAATATACAAAATCTGATGGGATCACAATCATTTACAAGACATTGTGGCACATAAAAGAAAACAAACCAACTTCAGGAGAATTTGCCAGCGGTGGAAGAAATAATAAGATTGTTTCCTGCAGTTAAATTACTAATAGCACACTTTTAGAATACTCCCCTGAATTTCATGCATTTAAAACCTTACAAACGAACAGTATAACCGCTTTCACACCAAGTACTTTGCCGTACTAAAGGTAGGGACACACCAAGCTGACACCAAAGAACTCACACAGACGGACCCGACTGTTGCGTCGCCTCATGTCTCCTGCATCTTGGCCAACAGTCGCACTGGAACACACCGCAAAGACTTCAGCCGACGGCCAAGTAGCACGTACGAACTGCGCATGCGTGAGTGGCAATAACTATAAGTGTGTATTCGTCAATCAAAAGAGGCAACAACCGGAAGACAGACTGGGTGATACACCGAGAGAAGAAGAACAGACTGCGTGATATAAACAAATAACAAATAGCGTGTGCGTTCCATTTTCACTCTACAGCGAGAAGCTCATGGGGCTTTCCCGAACCTGTGTCGAGAGCTGGAGTTAAATGAAATCTCAGATTTGCCTTCTTAAAAGTTTGTTTGGGTCCCTCACTTCCGTTTCGCTTCTCATGCACTGATTCGCTAGCTGAACAGCCAAGTGATTTATTTGGCCGATTGGTTTTCGTCCAAAAAAGTGTCGGCACGGCCGAAAAGTCATGATGGTGCGGGACACACTAATCTGAGTAGAGCGACAGGACGCTCATCATCGGCCTGACATCCATCGACGGCCAAAATCGGCTTGGTGTGTCCGGGGCTTTAGTTCCCAGCACTTAGTACCCCCATGGAACTAAGAGCCGATCGCGTTCACACCGGAATAAGTTCCCTGAGGGAAGATTAGGCAAATGAGCCGCTGACGTCACTTCGTCTTCTTCTGCTTTGGGTTTACTGGCAGGCCGCAAACAACTTCACGGCGTATACTGCCACCCGAAGTCCCCGGCCGGAAGTCCCCGGAGTTGGGGACTGGCTTCAGTAGAAGCTGCTGGGACTCCCAGCAGCTTCTACTGAAGCCTTCCGAGTAAATCGCCAGAACGCCGACACCTCCTCATCTCCACCGCTCCCATGTTTTTATTTGTGTTGCCATAAGTTATTCTCTCTTCGTTGGTGCGCGGGGCGAATGCTAATGCTAATAATGCTAATGCCAGCAAATACAATGGCGGCTTCAAAAAACCTTTAAGAGTTTTACGGGGCGTGGTTTGCAATCCGCCCAGCCAATCAGAAATTGGTACTTCTTTCTCCCCAGGATAGTCCCACCTCTCTAGCAGGGACTGAAAGTGGGGGTAAAAGTTCTCTGAACTAAGTTCTCTTTTTGGTGTGAACGCAAAATTCCAGGAACTATCGGAACTAAACGGGAAAAGTACGGGGAAAAGTACTCCGGTGTGAAAGCGCCATATGTATAAGAAATATGGAATAAAAGTATTGATTGAAGTAAAACAGTACAAGCACCTCACGTTTGTAATGACTTGATATGTTAAGATGCACAGAACACTAGTTCTCTGCCCTTTTTCTGGAAATAAGATATTCCTACTGAGCGAATGCAAATGACTATATTTCATATTTTTTTACTACAGTTATTTTTGTAAATGCTTCCAGTGTTAATAATTAAAGGTAGAACAAACCCCTGTATTATACGTGTCTATGTCCAGTAACATTCAGGAGGTTAACTGTCCCTGATCACATGTTCTTCACAGGACCATAAACACTGTCACTGGAGTTTAACTATGCGTCCTTTCAGGTGGAGAAAACATCATTTAAAAGCATCATCAAGCAAAAAACACCTGAAAACGTGATTTACCCTGAAAATCCTCTTTTTCTTAAGAAGCTTTATAGTTAAAAACAAACATATTTCCCACACTGTCTAACAGTATCTTAAATATTCTGCATGCAGCTCTTCATTGAAGCTAATTATGTTGACATCAAGGGGCGAATTCTCAGAGAACAGATTGCAGACGCAGTCTATATCTGGCAAAAACCATTCAAGTTTTGGTTGAGTTTTCCCTTTTTTGCATCTGATCTGATGATAAACGCGCTAAAGTATAAAGGTTTTCTTTCCATGCAGAACAATGGCAGAGACAGATAAAGAAGAGTTACATTTTTAGACCAACGAGGTGCAAAAGCATTCCTCAAGACTTCATACGAGGAATTTAAACGAGACATTATTTGGGTGGTATTAAAGGCACAGGAGGAGCTAGCTGACTTTGCAGTGCAGTTAGTTTCTTCTTTGGTTAAGTTGGTGCAAAAAGGCTTTTCAATCCTTTAGCGAATTCGCCCCTGAGTTTTTTTTATGGCTGCTTCATTCCATCAAATGGAAATATTCGACATCTTGGGGAAATTCGGCATCTCCACAAGGAATACAAATTTGAAGAAAGTTTGGACAAACAACTCTCAACTCAAACTGTGTTCCTATTTCAAGTTTGTTCCTGTTGCAGTAGAGTCTTTTTGCATTTAGCTGTTGATGTGCAACCAAACGTCCTTTAATCGGGCTGAAATCCCAGCAAGCGAACATCTGATCACTTTTACAAACTATCTGCAACAGTCAGATGGTAGAAGGAGTTGCTGGTGACGTCACCAATCGACATTTTCTCAAACTTTTAAAGGAGCTTTGGCTTTACGAAGAAGGGCGGAGAAAAAAAAAACATGGCAGGAGGCAGGACGGGATGCAAAACGTTCCTCAGTTCTTTGGGGAGAGTATCTCAGTCCAGAACCCCGATGTGAGCGTCCACTAAAAGGTTTCCTCAGTATTCCTCTTTGATGTTCAGAGCCAGCGAGGAGGGCGACACCAGCCCGTTGTTACCACTGCTGCTCGTCACCATGGAGACGCTGTTTCCGCCGTTTCCATGGAGAACACCACCGCTCCCATTGGCTGGAGGCGTGGTGGAGGAAGAGGAGGCCGGCTGCTGGAGCTTCTTCTTGGTGATTTTACGCTCTTTAGCCCGGCGGTTCTGGAACCAGATCTTCACCTGGAGCAACAACAACAAAAAGGTGTTTTTATTTTTGCAATGTAATTTGAAGACATTTTTTTTTAAATACATTTTTCAAGATTCAAGGCTTTTATTGTCATTCGTACATAGCTACAGTGCAGTTATGTCGATGAAAATCTTAGGTCACAGGCTCCTCCAACAGAGTAACACAATAAAACAGATAAAATAGTGCAAGGAAATACAATAACATAGAATAGAAGTAGTGCCATAAGAGTCTATACAAGTGATAAATAATTTGTAAGTTGCAAACAGATGAATGTTGTGGATGTTCTTAGTTCAGGTGTTTAACAGTCTTATGGCCTGTGGGATGAAACTGTCCCTGAGTCATATATATTTTGACTGTGGTGCACCAAGTAACCAAAGCAAATTCCTTGTATGTGAAAAACTACTTGGCATGCATCCGATTCCTTTACAGTTATATTATATCTGCATGACATGTCAACATCATTTTAAAGCACCACATTTATTTCCACGCGAACAAAGCAATGGTTCCAGTTTGGTTTGTTTGTCAGCAATATAACGGAAAAACTACAAGTCCAGCTTTCATGTAACTTGGCGGATAGGTGCAGCATGGTTGAAGAAATCGGATCCACGCATTATTTTACATTTTCCGTTAAATATAGCAAGATCGGACTTTTAGTTTGATTGCTTTTTTGTTGTTGTTGGTTGGCAGGACTGGTGAAAAACTAGACTTTTCCATGAAACTTGGTGGGAGCGTTTAGCAAGGGCCAAAGAATAACCCATGATAAAAGTCTGTGTTCTTTGAGTGTTGACCTGATGAAAAGTCAGAGGGTCACCAAATGTAATACACGTCATCCTGTTGGGAACAAGAATGGGTGTACCAAATTTCATGACAATCCATCCAACAGTTGTCGAGCTGTCCTGCTGCTACACATACTCATTAGAGTGCAAATAGTGGATTCATCCGCCCATAAAAATAGTCCCAAACAAGTGATCAATTGCACTAAAATTGAATTTACGATGTAGGTCTTCAGTAGGAACCAATGGGCATGTTGTTGGTTTAAGTATTTTACTGGAATTTGTTTACAATAAGAAACATTTTCAGAGAACAAGTTAAAGAAATCCTGCCCAGTTCTTCGTCACCACTTTGAATCTCAAACATGGACGTTATGCTTTATGTAAGATCCTAAATGTAATGTTTCACCCAATTTTTGTCAGTGTTTTTCCGTACCTGTCTCTCTGAGAGGCCGAGCGTCGTGGCCAGCTCCGACTTCCTCCTGATGGTGATGTATTTGCTGTAGTGAAACTCTTTCTCCAGCTCCAGACGCTGGTGGTCGGTGTAAACCACCCGGTACTTATCTTTAGTCCGCGTCTTCCCGTCTGAAAAGCACAGAAACATAACCTGGTTAGCAAAGGAACTGTTGTTGAAATGCCCCTTGCATTGATTTCACACTGAAGGGGTATCAGTCTTCTTCTCTAAGTCTAAAAGTTTATGAAGGTTTCTATGTTTTATGTTCAGTGTCTTGGTTTGTTTGTGTCTCAGCAGGATTAAGTCAAAATTGTTAACTAGCATTAGCATGACATAGCATTTAGTAGCATCCAGAACCAAACAGTGGTTGTTCCCAGGTTTTAATCTGTAGCGTAACCCCAAAATAATAACGCTAATAATATGCAAATGTTTTGAGTTGATGCTACGTTGCTACTGTTAAAGCTAGTTAGCCAGGTTTGCCAACAATAGCCACGTATTTAAAAACATTAATGCTTCAAATGTATTTAACAATTTACTTTGTCCTCTGTTTTGAAAAAGCTAAAACGTTTACACAATCCTCTAAATTCTTAAAAATGTGGAGCGCAGTCACATGTTTAAAGAGTGGGACAAAGCTGCTAACGTTAGCCTCATATTAGCGTATTTGTGTGTCAGCAGGATTAAGGAAAAACGACTATCGTTATCTAGCATTAGCATGACATAGCATGTAATAGCATCCAGAACCAAACAGTGGTTGTTTCAGTTCTGATCGGTATCGTGACCCAATAAATAAATATGTAGTTAGCTAATAATATGCAAATGTTTTGCGTTGAAGGTGCTACGTTGCTACTGTTTAAGCTTGTTAGCCATGTCTGCTAACAATAGTAGCTTATTTTAGAACCAAATTATTTCTTAGTAGGTTTTTAACAATTTTCACAGTCACATGTTAAAAGAGCAGAACACAGCTGCTAACATTAGCCTCACATTAGCGTATTCTTGGGTTGGCAGGATTAAGGAAAAAACAGTTTAATGTTTACTAGCATTAGCATGACATAGCATTTAGTAGCATCCCGAACCAAACAGTGGTTGTTTCTGGTTATAATCTGTAGTGTTACCCACCAGTAAAATGTGGTTAGCTAATAATATACAAACGTTTTAAGGTAAAGCCAAATTACAAGCTAGTTAGCCAGGCCTGCTAACGTTAGCAGCTTATGTTATGCTCGATTTTTACAATTGTTTTAATGCAAATAGGAGAACAATAAGTAGGAAAAAACTCTGGAAATGAACAGCATACAACATGTATTATGGCATAAGTGTAAGAATATTGTTTAATGTTTACATTATCTTGCAATAGGGTGTAACTTGTAGTCCATATCCGTATAATCCAGACATAATGATTATTTAAAATACGTGTTTGAGCTCTACCATTTCACATGTACGAGGGTAAACATGTTTACCTCATATAGCCTAGTTTTAAAAACACTTAAACCATTGAATCAGTTAATTGAATGTTTCCACTTCATTGACATGAAATCACACCAGCCGTTAGCGTGTTAAAGCTCAATGAAGCGTACGGAGCTGTAGTATTTTATATTATATGTTATAAAACACTCTCGTATAAACTGACGTCAGGCTGCAGCATAATGTGAGTTTTCACCATGACTCCTTTATTCAAATAGGAAACCTGCCTTGGATTGATTTGCATAAACTCACCGTTATCTGCTTTTTGTTTAATTTAAATGGACTCAGTGTTCATGTGTTTTAAAACTCAACTCTATCAGAAGGTCAAGCTGTTCATTATGAAACTTCAAAATGTATTTAACCTGCAGATTAAAACTCGCTACAGTTGTAATATAAATGACGAATTGTAATTTGTCTTATTCTTACAGTAAAATGAAGGTATTAATTGTCCAGTATAAATGTATTCAAAGAATGTAAAGTAACAGTAAAAAGTAGGTATAGTACTTGAAATAAAAGTGCTGACTGCTGAAAAGTGTATTTAAAGTAGTAAATGTAAAAGTAGGAGTAGTCAAATGTATTCAAAGTACTTAAAGTAAAAGTATTAAAGTGCAGTCAAATGTATTCAAAGAACTTAAAGTAAAATAACTAATTGTGCAGTAAAATATACGCAAAGTACTTAAAATAAATGTAGAAATTGTACAATGAAATGTATTGAAAGTACAAAGTGTCTTTTTGCGTTGCAGCATACTATGTTAAAGTAAATTAAAAGGCCTTCAGCTGTCTTTAACACGCTCTGATTCAGTATTAACTCTAAACACACACCATGTTCTTCTTTAAACACACACTCACACACACACACACGCACACGCACACGCACACGCACACGCACACGCACACGCACACACACACACACACACACACACACACACACACACACACACACACACACACACACACACACACACTGTCTGTCTGTCCAGTAATTGGTCAGCGGGGGGGTTTGGGAACATCTGTCCGAACGTTCTGCTTCATTTGTGAAAGTGAAAACCAACAGTCTGATAGAGAGCTGACGCTAATGAAGGAGCGTAAATCAGAAGCTCTTCAGCGTTCACTCTGCACTCAAGTATCGTTACTCATTATTCAAAGCAAGAGCCAGGCTAACACTTCCCCCCACTGCCAGTCTTTATGCTAAGCTAAGCTAACACAGCCCTGATTCCTCACTAATGGCGCGTTTCCACTACAGCGCGGAGCACGGTTTAAGAGGGCTGTGACGTCAGCGGCCCGTCTTTGGTTGCGTTTCCACTTGGCCTAGTACCGGCCGGCGGGTCCTAATTCACAGTTTTTCTGGCCTCATAAAATCGCGGGTCTAGGGCCAGAGACAACGAGGCTGAGTCGGGCTGAGTATGCTAAACTAGAGAGAGCATCGCTGGCAAGGGGGCTACAACTACAACAAGATGGACATATTTGACCGTGATTTAATTGTAATACACGTTTCAAAATGATGCCGAAGTAACAACATACTGATACCGGTTAGTAAAAACCATGAATTAATGCTTTGTCAAGTCTGCAGACAGACGGCAGGCGAAAAAACCTTTTAAAATGCGTGTTTTCTAAATGGAGATTGGCTAAGCTAACGCAGTATATGCTCCGACCGTCCACACTCACAACAACGGCCTATACAGACATAAATAAAGCAGCGACTGTATTCACCATGACACAGGCAGTCTGTGGTTTGTACTTGTTTAACTTTTGTCTAGTTTCTGAACATATATGAGGAGCTGTGAGCTCTGAGTGCTAACAGCTAACGGCTGTGTTGTTTTTCTGGGGTTCTCATTGAAGATCACGTCACGGCTCCGCCTACACTGCGTTACTATAGATACTACCCCAGTTCCTAAACTGTAATGGAAATGCGCCATAAAGTGAGCCAGTCCTAACGAGGCCCAGCCATACCGAGCGGGGCCGAGCGAGGCCGTGTAGTGGAAACGCGCCATAAGACCCTTTCAGAGGACGAGAAGTGCCAAATAAATAAAACCATATAAAATAAATGTATATTCTATTAAATGTACCTGATTTATTTTTGCTTGATTATGTTTAGTTCTTTTCCATTTATAAAAAGTTATGTATTTATACGTGTATACCATTTTTCTTTTTTTCTTTTTACCGTTATTTCTCCATAGATGAGAGTAACACATGCGTCACTTCCGGGCAAAAATTACGGCTCCGCCCACTTTTGGGGGAAAACAACGCTGTTATTTGAATGGAGGTCAATATAAACTCTGACGTTTTTGCCAATCCGATCAGAAATGTAAGAAAACCGTGGATTTGTGGATCTTCAAAGAGCCCGATTACGATGGCCAGACAGGCAAACTATTACATTAAATCATTGGAAATCGACGAGCGGGCTCGATATATGGTTAAATATAGCAGTTGGCGATCGATGTCCATAGATGAGAGTAACACCTACGTCACTTTACGGCCCCGCCCACTTTTGAGGGAAACCAACGCTGTCATTTGAACGGCGATCGAGCCTGAAGCCACAGAGCTCCTTTGTTCTTAGAGGAAGGACAGAAACACTGAACTCTGGATTTGTTTTAATGTTTGAGGCGCAATAAACGATGCAGCAGCTTGTTGGCATGATCAAACTATTACTTTCCGCCTCGCTCATGAGAGTAACAGCTGGCGAAATTACGGCCTCGCCTACTGATTTTAATTTAACCATATATTGAGCCCAATCGTCGATTTCTAATGATTGAATGTAATTGTCTGTCTGGCCATCGTAACCGGGCTCTTTGAAGATCAGAAAATACACGGTTTTCTTTCATTTCTGATCGGATTGGCAAAAACTTCAGAATTTGTATTGATCGCCATTCAAATGACAGCGTAGTTTTCCCCCAAAAGTGGGCAGGGCCGTCATTTTTCGCCCGGAAGTGACGTAGGTGTTACTCTCATGTATACTTGGAAGGATAATAAAAATAAAAGTAGAACAAAATAAAATAATACAGAAATAAACAAATGAATGTAAAATGTAATAAAGAGACTCTCTCTTTATACAGAGGGGACACATGTCTCTTCTACATCAACATGTGTCCCCTCTTCTTCATGTCTCTTCTACATCAACATGTGTCCCCTCTTCTCCATGTCTCTTCTACATCAACATGTGTCCCCTCTTCTTCATGTCTCTTCTACATCAACATGTGTCCCCTCTTCTTCATGTCTCTTCTACATCAACATGTGTCCCCTCTTCTTCATGTCTCTTCTACATCAACATGTGTCCCCTCTTCTTCATGTCTCTTCTACATCAACATGTGTCCCCTCTTCTTCATGTCTCTTCTACATCAACATGTGTCCCCTCTTCTTCATGTCTCTTCTACATCAGCATGTGTCCCCTCTTCTTCATGTCTCTTCTACATCAACATGTGTCCCCTCTTCTTCATGTCTCTTCTTCATCAACATGTGTCCCCTCTTCTTCATGTCTCTTCTACGTCAACATGTGTCCCCTCTGTGGAAAGAGACTCTGAAAGTTTCAGGAACAAAGATTCTCTCTCTTTTTGTCCTGATCCATTTCTATAAAAACCTGTCTGAAAATGAGCTGATCAGATTGTGGCCACTTTATGATGTCAAAACGATGTTTTGGCTTGTGTAACGGCCCGTCCACACAGCAGCGTTAAAAAAATCTTGGAGGTGGGCGTATCTGAAGCTTGGGGATTTTTTGCGAGCAAGGCACTAACAACCAATCACATGAATCTCCCGCCCCCCGACATACGAAGCAAAAAAGCCCGAAGTAAACTGGATATAAACTCCCCAAACAGGCGAAAACATACCACTGTCTCTGCCACCTCCCTCCATGCCTGGCTCCTCCGGTTTATATCCCGGTAGGTAAATAGGGACTGGTCATAAAGCACCGGGTGATTCCCTACCGCTAATTTCTCCTCCATTTTTTGGAATATGAGGAAATGACCTGCGGTATGTCTCTCCCAGCATACACGCGGTTTGATTGGCTAGCGCTTGAACTGTCAGATTTGCATACACGGGATTTGATTGGCTGACGCTTCCACCTCAGCTTCAAAAGTTGAACATTGCTCAACTTTGAATCCTGAAAATCCTGAAAATCTCCGCTCTGCTGCCCACAATGCAGTTCGGCGAAAAGTGAGACAAAGTGACGTCACCCCATTCAAAGTGAATGGGCAGAAGCGTTCCAAGATTTTTTAACGCTGCTGTGTGGACGGTCCGTAACCATTAGCCAATCAGCAACCAAGGTAACCCCCCCCCCACCTTATCACCTGAATCTCCTCCTATGCCCCTTTCACACCAACACGTTTTCAGCTCCGGCTCGGAGCTGGAGCCTGAAAAGTACCGTTTTTTCCTGTTCACACCGCAGCGGCGCCGCCTTTTAGCTCCGGAATGCGGTTCACTTCCAGCTCCAAAAGATTGTCGGTCTAGAAGCAAGAGCTTCGGAGCTAAGAGGCGGCGTCGCTTACGTCTCTCTTACGTCGAGGCGTGCAGGAAACTAAACCCACCTCCCCTGAACATGGGTCGACTGAAGAGTCTCGTCATGCCTGCCTACAAGCAGTAGCGCTGAGCAAAGTGACTAGAAGGCAACCACACACTTATAAAAAAAAACACACTTTATAAAGTCAGGCAACACTAACCAGGCTTCGTGTGATTCTGTTTATTTGTACCTTACTTTGACCATCCGTTCTCTGTTATTGATCATTGTGGAGAGCAGGCAGACGTTTTGTTTTGTATTATAGCAGCTATCGGATGGAATCAATACATGGGCTGCACAGGTTGTCATGTCCGACTATCACAAGTAGAATCATAATGAAAAATACGCCGGTAAAATGTGCCTGTAGAAAACGGCTTAGCAAGTAGTCAGTTTAGCTTCGGTTGCTATGCTAACATCACCCATGTTATACCAGAGAAACTTTCATAACAGCGTTGTGATGCCAAACAGCGTCAATTCAGACTGACACACATTCACTTAAGGGGAACTGGGGATATGTATCAGCTGCTTGTGTGACAGTCAGACAGTGAATACTTTAGAGCCGTGTGACCTAACCCGGAGCTAACGGGAGAATAAACTCCCGTGGAAGAGCAGCCAGCACTGCAGCGGTCGGTAAATGCCGCTGAAACACATTAATAAACAATGAACCACGGCACTCTGGAGAAAAGTATAAGGTTGGAGAAGTTGTTATTTAATTTAATCTGGCTTCGTATGATTAAAAGCAACACGATCATCGACCCGACGCAGTCCCCCGTTGTTGTTGTTGTGAGCGCCGTTGGGGAGCAAATCAGCGATGTAAACGGTGACGTCATGACGCAGCAGCGGCAGCTCTGGGCAGTGTGAACAGAGCGGGAGCAGAAAAGGGAAACCGGAGCTGAACCAGAAAAGCTCTAGCTCTGAGCTAGAAAAGGAAAAGCGCTGGTGTGAAAGCCGCACTAGAGCACCATTGGGTTCTTTTTAACCAAATCTCTCTCAGAGGGGCGTGGGGAGTGGCTCCTTATTTTCATCTAAAGTAACACACAGAGAATCAGCTCTTTTGAAACAGGGCCGAAACAGAGGGGATTATGGGTAATGCTGCAATGATCTGTTTGGTGTTTCAGCCAATCAGAGACAGGCTCTGGATATATCTGAGACCTGTGATATATTGATGAGAAACAGTATAATAGGGGGCCGTTAATATCCCTGAAATCTCAACTGAAGACAGAAACTTGATTACTTTTAGAGAACTGAGGAACAAATAACAAAATAAATGTTTGTGAAAATGATTCCTTTGCTGTTAAACACCTCAGATGTATCACAACACATCATTAGTTTCCAGGAAGTCATAACTGCTCCTGACTCCATAGAAGTACGTGCTGAATTTACAATATGTTTAACACTCAATTGACCGACTTTTAAGCCATAAAAGCATTTAAAGATCTGTTATATGATACGGAAGTAAAAGAGTGAACTGCTAATGGAAGTAAATTAGTGATAAAACAGAGGGAGCTTCTCTCTCACACACAATCTTTATTGGATTAATACAAACAGGTTTATTTCTATTTTATAGGATATATATATATTTTTTATATATTTCAACGACCTTTTTAAAGACTATCTTTTAATTTATTTTTGTTCTTTATTTCTTTATTTCAAACACACACACACACACACACACACACACACACACACACACACACACACACACACACACACACACACACACACACCCAGTCCCAGACACACACACTCTCACACACAGTCACACTTCACACTTCAAAGTGCGGACAGTCTTGTTCCTCCGTGTCTTCTCCGCCCAGAGACAGCGGAGGACAAAGCGCCTCCGCCCGGATCCTCCCTCCTTTCAGCGGGGCTTCATTAGCATCACAGCGGCCTCTTTGATCCGGAGGGCCGTGGGGAAGCTCCACACCCCGTCGGATCTACGCGTTATATTAGCGATTTTAAAAAAACACGACGGTCCTAATGGTTTAAAGTCCCAGCTGCATGTTGAGTGAAGGGAGGGGAAGTCCGGGTTTTAAACATGTATTTTTTTTGTAATTTTACTTATTGGCTGTTTGTATTTTATTCTGTATTGTTTCATTTATTTTATTATTTTATATTCATTTTTTTCTATAAAACACTAGTTAAGAAAAGTGAACATATATATATTTTGTATTATAATTATAATATAAATTCTAATACTATTAAAGGTGGGGTAGGTAAGTTTGAGAAACCGGCTCGAGATCGCTAGAATTTGAAAATACACAACCGGAGAAAATCTGCCACTTCCTTATAGAGCCTCCTCCAACACACACGAACGCGCACATGACCAATGAGGGCACGAGATAAATGTGTGCACAGATGGAAGGCTGACAGGCAGGTAGGCCATCCAGTTATTTTAGCCGGGCCGGCTCAGATGATTGGTCGTGCTTTTTACAGTATTACGGCTTCCAGATGACATTTCTTTTATGGATTTGTTGTCAAAGCACTTAAGATATTCATTGCTATCGGGATGTTAAGAGCATTCCATGGAATATAACAAAAAGTGTATCTCAAGCCGGTTTCTCAAACGTACCTACCCCACCTTTAATACACCAAAATCATGTATATTATTTATTATTATTTTTATTTTTAATATAATTTTTATTATTAATATTAATGGTATTAAATAATGTCTAACTGATGAGGAAAAAATAAACAAAAGTATAAATAAAACTATAGTTATAAGATACGATACAATTAAATTAATGATTTAAATATAAAATGGATAAAAGCAGGGTTTTTTATAACCTCTAATAGGATTAGAAATAATCCCTGTGATTCCTTTTTAAATAATGTTTTAATTCCTGTTAAATGGCTCTGTTTGCTTTACATGAGAAGCGGCACGCTCGGTGTAAAACATGTTTTAAATATCACAGTTTTTACTGAAATTAATCCATATAAATAACAATTAAAAACTATTTTATAAATCCAAAATATTTTCAAAACAATATCAGATATCTCATGTTTGCTGCATTGTGATAGCACTTTGAAGTAAACAATAATAAATGTGATAAGATGTCGGAAGAATGTAAAATAAGACGGCGTAAAAAGCTGATGTTTTATATTTCTTGTACATAATGTGAAGGTTTTTTTTATTGTTTAATGCACATATTGAACATGTTTTATCAATTTGAGCCTATTTCAGTAACTATTAAGATATTTAGCATCAAGTGCATGCATTAAATGAAGTAAAACGTGCAATATTTACGGTATAAATTCATTTGAATAAGTATTTCTTTGAGGTTATTTTAGTGGCTTAGTGGGTTTTTTAACCTGCATACTTGGTTAATTATAGGGAGTTCATAAGTGCAATATTTACAGTATAAAGTAAGAAATGCTAAAGTAAATACCTGATTCCCAATTTATGAATAATATGGAGTTATTAAGCGTTAGGTGCACTTAACGCATGTTATAGGCTACTTCATTTCATGCATGCATGAAATGAAGTAGGCTATAACATGCTATTTTTACAGTAAAAAGCACCATAAATACTTACGTAAATTACGTAAATTCATTTAAATAAGTATTTTTTATTAAATGGGTTGAGGTTATTTTAGTGGCTTAGTGGGTTTTTTAAGCTGCATAATTGGTTATTATAGGGAGTTATTTAGAGTATAAAGAAGCAGAAATACTAAAGTAAATATGCATCCTAACTGATGTATTATATGGAGTTATTAAGCATTAAGTGCATGCATTAAAAAAAAAAGTATAACATGCTATATCTACAGTATAAGATAAACTAATTAATGAACTAAAAATAAATAACGTTAATTTTCAATAATTCTTACTGGGGTTGGATGTGGGCGCGGAGCTCCGGCGGATCCAGTCGTACGGGTTCCTCCTCTGCGGGGATCCGGGCGACATCTGGCCGACCGAGGCGTTCAGCTGCCCGGGGAAATCCGCCGGGTTGAACCCCAGAGAGGGACCCACCACCGCGGATCCCCCGGAGGATGAAGCCCCCCCTCCTGCCACCGCCGCCGCGTAGTGAGACGACCATTCATCCCGGGATGGAGGCGGGGGAGGCGGGTAAGAGGAGCTCCATCCCCCGGTGTTTCCCCCGGAGCCCCCGGCCTGCTGCTCGGTGGTCAGGCCCGGGTGGTGAGGGTGGTGGTGCGGGTGGTGGTGCGGGTGGTGGTGGTACCCGGGGAAGTCTGAGTACTGCGGCGGGGCGGAGGTGAAGCTCTGTGGACTGAGGCTCAGGGGGTGCCTCGGGCCCGGGTTCTGGTACATGTTGGGGTCCTTGTCCAGCTGCAGGTAACTCACGTACATGTTTCCAGGTGAGGAGGAGGGCTCTGCCTCTGCATGCTGCGGATCCAGACTCTGTCACCTGGCGCTCAGGTAAGATCTCTGCTGTCCACCTGTGAGAGTGTGTGTGCGTGTGTGTGAGAGTGTGTGTGTGTGTGTCAGCACGTTAAAGCCTCCCACTGTCACATGGTCACTTTTATTACCCTTATCTCCCTCCCTCTCTTCCTCTTCTTCCTCACCTCACATCCTCCCGTAGTTTGGTAATGCATTATCATTTAGTTTCTGTCATCTGAAGAAAAACTAGGATTTTATATTTCCGCCACTTTATTCTGTAAATAGGCCAACTGCACGTTTTACTTTATTGATGTATACACTTAACAACTCCATGAATCAATCAGGATGCAGGTTCAGGTTCCTTCAAAGCCACTCAATCAGCTGCATTTTGAACAAATTGATAAACATTTAAAGCATCAATAATTAAGCTGTAAATATATATATATATATATAACATAAAGAATAGGAAAAAATATTACATTTAAATATGACAAAAATACTTTAATAATAAATAAATAGAATATGAATAGAACTGTAGAAAATAAAATATTTATAAAAAACATAAAACCTCTAATTCACAAAGATGTTGGAAGTATATTTTGATGATATACTTTTGTACTTTTACTTGAGAAGCATTTTCAATGCAGTACTTTTAACAGAGTATTCCTACACTCTGGTACTTCTACTTTTACTCAAGTACAAGATCAGAGTACTTCTACTTTTACTCAAGTACAATATCTGAGTACTTCTACTTTTACTCAAGTACAAGATCTGAGTACTTCTACTTTTACTACAAGACCTGTGTACTTCTACTTTTACTCAAGTACAAGATCTGAGTGCATCTACTTTTACTCAAGAACAAGACCTGTGTACTTCTACTCTAACTTACCCCCCCCCCCCCCCTCTCTCTATCTGATGATTTGCATCACAGTCGCTCTCTGCATTTCAAAGGCAGCTTCAAAGGCAGGAGACGAAGTTACAAATGAGGCTGAAACTAAAGAAGCAGGACTAACATGTCGTCAGTCGACTCGGTGCAATAAACTCTGATATCATCTATTTATAATAAACATTTAATATATATACAACAAGGCCCGGGACCCCCACTGACACCCCATAATAACACATCCTGTGAACAACATCCATCCTGCACATGTTGCACACATCCCTTCTCCTCACTACCTCTTTCAATCAGCTCTCCACTTTAAATGCAGTATATAGTGTTTGTCAGATGTAAATATTGTTGTTATAATATCTTAAGATAGTTTTTACATAGCTGTCACAACAGTCCTGTTTGTATTTGTATTTGTTTCGCTCATATTCTTCTTTCTGTGTCTCTATGTATATTAGAGCTCATTCCTCCAATGTGTCACCACTTGGTAAATATAACCAATTCTGATTCTGATCCTGATGTAATCAAATATTAAAATAAATAACAGCTACAACAAATTAAAGTTCATCAAATAAATACAAATTATGTAAAATAAATAACTATCTATAAATGAAATCAGGTAATCCTTTCAACTCTATGTTAAACTAAAATAAAAAATAAATCAAAACGTATGATCCATTTTTTACAGGAAAACCTGAAACCTGACTGGACCTGACAACTGGCAACTGGACCTGACAACTGACAACTGGACCTGACAACTGACAACTGGACCTGACAACTGACAACTGAAAGTCAGGTTCCCGTCAGTCTGCCTGTAATTAACACACACACACACACACACACACACACACACACACACACACACACACACACACACACACACACACACACACACACACACACACACACACACACACACACACACACACACACACACACACACAACACAGGGTGTCGCAGGGAGGTCGGCTGGAGGTCATCGCTGCGTCTCCTTCCTGAAAGTCAGAAGACAAAGCGTCTCTGAGGACAAAGGACAGAGAAGAATGGAGACTCTTCACACCGACATCAAACTGAAGGCATGTAGGAGCGAGGCTGCAGAAATAAATATACTAATTAATATCATTTAATTACAGGCTTTTTTATTGACACAAATATATTTGACAATAGTTTTTAAAAAAGTTTTTATCTGCTAAAATATATTTTCAAAATTGCTGAATATTTTTTTAATAATTGATTTGCATTACTTTTTGTTGACATTTAAAAAATATATATTACTACAAATACAAACATTTTAAACTGTGTCTTCATTTTGATGAAATCTACATAAAGACAGAAATATAAAGACCTGAATAGAATATCCAGCATGATGTCTTTGAGAGTCACTTTAATATCAGATTAGCAGCAAGTCGAGTACAAATATAATAACATACTAAATAAATTGAACAACAGCAACAGTAAACATATCAACAATATAACATATACAGAATGGGTTGGATTACACTATAGTAAATACAATTAATCCAATGTAAAAATAAATGTACTATATACATTTAACTGTGCAGCTTGCAGTTTTTTAAAGTAACATTTAAACACAATTAGGTAAACTGATTGGCTCAGAGTTCAGGTGTTTAATATTCTTATGTCCTGTGGGATGAAACTGATTCTGAGTCTGGTTTTAGTCCTGATGCTGCGGTGCACCTGTAGAAGGTCAGGATGCTCTCTCTACCTGTCCTCTCTCTACCTGTCCTCTCTCTACCTGTCCTCTCTCTACCTGTCCTCTCTCTACCTGTCCTCCTCTCTACCTGTCCTCCTCTCTACCTGTCCTCCTCTCTACCTGTTCATCGAAGCAGGAGTGGTAAAACTTGGCCATTTGACGGGGGTCTCCACAGAGAAACTGAGGTGACGGGCATTCGATCAACCCGAGTTCTGGAGAACTTGGTAGATGAGGTGTGGCAGTCGCTGTCGCCATCCCACCGGACTTTTGCTCTGGATGCAGATCTGGCTGACCAGTGGAGAAAGGGACATGAGTATGTCTTTCCTGCCTTGAGTGATGGTCCTGCAGTGGGGGAATGGAGAGAGGAGGATGGTCTCCTGCTATCACTGGGGACTCTAACACCTGGAACATTCAGCTCCTGCAATGGAAAGCAGCTATACCTTAGCTGCGTAAAGGTGCTAAACCTCAGCTCGCTCGCAGGCGTCAGAGAGTCGAGGTGGACGGATGTGTTTGGTTTGGGCTCTCCCCCTCAGGGCAGCTGGAGGACCCTGAATAAAGCTCCGGTTGAGAAACGGATGGCTGACATCCAATGGAGAATCATACATGGAGCCACTAACAAATACAGAGCTCATTTTGACCCGGGCACAAGGGGGTGCTGTCCGTTCTGTTTTATAGCAGAAACATTGGAACATTTAGTGGTGTCCTGTCCCCGATTGGCTGGTCTAAACATTTTTTACAGGAGTGGGTGGAAGGGTTGGAGGTTTTCTCCATACCACTTAATGCTAATGCAAAATGAGCGATCTGGAAAAGTCTGAAAAAGCAAGTTGCTGGAGTGGGATGGACGGATGCAGTGCTCTGTCTGAGCAAGGCCGGATTAACCATATGGGCAACCTGCTCAAGTGCCCAGGGGCCCTTGAGCAAAGAGTGACAAGATTAAAAAATATATATATATTAATATATTTTCTAAACCGTCTCTGTACTGTAGGTCTCACTATGTATGCGCTCAAATGTATTACTACGCGGCAGCGGTGTATAGCCGAATCACAGCCCCACCCTCACTCATGTCACATTTTGTCACGTGAGCTGAAAAAATGGATGGTGCCGGTAGCCAAACGCCCAGCGGAAGAAAGTAAAAGAAGAAGAGAGAGTGGCGGCTGCATTAAAAAATGTCCCAACAATAAATAGTTTTTTCTAAAAAGCAAAAAGTGGCGAAATAGGCCAGCAACCACAAGGAACAGTGGTGGCGGTCACGGAGGATGTTGTTGAGCTAGCGGCAATGTTAGCCTTGAGCCTTGGATTTTGATGACCACAGACTTTTCAAAGAGAAAGGCAAGGAAGAAACACTTCTAAAAGGTAAGATCCACTGTCTCTCACACACACTCATTCTCTCTCTCTCTCTCTCTCTCTCACACACACACTCAGTCACTCTCTCTCCCTCTCACATATACACACACACACACACACACACACACACACACACACACACACACACACACACACACACACACACAGACACAATATCTTCCATAGCGGACTGGCCATCGGGAATACCGGGAGTTTTCCCGGTGGGCCGGTCGGATTTGAAAAAAATACGATACGATACATGCCGCGCTTTAATGGCGCGTTTCCACTACACGGCCTCGCTCGGTATGGCTAGGCCTCGTTAGGACTGGCTCACTTTATGGCGCATTTCCATTACAGTTTAGGAACTGGGGTAGTATCTATAGTAACGCAGTGTAGGCGGAGCCGTGACGTCATCTTCAATGAGAACCCCAGAAAAACAACACAGCCGTTAGCTGTTAGCACTCAGAGCTCACAGCTCCTCATATATGTTCAGAAACTAGACAAAAGTTAAACAAGTACAAACCACAGACTGCCTGTGTCATGGTGAATACAGTCGCTGCTTTATTTATGTCTGTATAGGCCGTTGTTGTGAGTGTGGACGGTCGGAGCATATACTGCGTTAGCTTAGCCAATCTCCATTTAGAAAACACGCATTTTAAAAGGTTTTTCGCCTGCCGTCTGTCTGCAGACTTGACAAAGCATTAATTCATGGTTTTTACTAACCGGTATCAGTATGTTGTTACTTCGGCATCATTTTGAAACGTGTATTACAATTAAATCACGGTCAAATATGTCCATCTTGTTGTAGTTGTAGCCCCCTTGCCAGCGATTCTCTCTCTAGTTTAGCATACTCAGCCCGACTCAGCCTCGTTGTCTCTGGCCCTAGACCCACGATTTTATGAGGCCAGAAAAACTGTGAATTAGGACCCGCCGGCCGGTACTAGGCCAAGTGGAAACGCAACCAAAAACGGGCCGCTGACGTCACAGCCCTCTTAAACCGTGCTCCGCGCTGTAGTGGAAACGCGCCATAAGTCTGTCAATTAATCCCCGGGCCACTGGTTGGGGGGGGGCCATGAGCGCTCAGTGCCCAGGGGCTAATCCGGCCTTGTGTCTGAGGGGGCTGGTGGCAGCGC